TATATATACAGACGGTCTATTCTGCTAATATTAGCAGAATAACTATTCTGCACACCACTTCCGCACTGCACGGTGAACGCAAGTGCACTGCAATGCTTCACGGGAGAACTGCTTCATTTTCCGGTTTTCCGCCCGCGCGTTCTATGTGGAATCGGGTGTCGTGGGATGATTCAGTTTGTGTCTGCATCTCATTTTAGCTTTATTCTTTCTGATTTACAGGAAAATATACTAGAGTGCTTGCAAATCGATGGATTTGGCGGATGAGCTTTCTCTGTTCGTTCGTGTTCGCGTCAGATGCGATTTTTTTTGTGCTCGGATGTTGTTATTTAGTAGGAATTCTTTGATTGCGTTCATTTTAATCGGTCCGTTCACTCTATAATTCGTTAATTTTTAGGAGTTAGTTTTCAATTCTTGATATGTTGGTTGTGCGGGCGGGTGAGCTTCGTCCGCTCCTCTGTTCTTGTTGATTTTTTTGATTTTTGCCCGTGCACGTGTGTTTGAATATTGTAATTACTGTTGCTGTAGGATTGAATTCATTGTATTGCGGGTATAATTGTCATTTTTTGAATCGCATTATTTAAATGAAAGGTGATGTTGTTCGTCAAGTTGCCATATCTTCCATGTAAATTTTTGCGGGTGTATTTTTTGATGGTTTAGTGGCTGTAGAATTTTTAGGCGAGTTATGGAAGTGCGAGTGAAATTGACACCTCTATCAGTCTATCACATTGTCTGTAGTCGCGACATACGTTGTAGTTTACTGCATTTTCTTTGGTAGCGAACTTCGTTGTAGTTTTATTACAGTGGTTATGGCTGTTTATGAGATTTCTCCTTTTCGTAAACTACATTCTGTGTTTACTACATTCTGTGTTCTAGATGACTGCATAATATGCATTTCTGTAATGCATTAGCAGTGTTGTTAATGTTCTATTCTGCTATTAGAAGGGATGGTCCATGATACGCTTGTGTTAGCTGAATAGTTATTATAAGAATTTTTTTGAACTGCATACTATGAGAATTGTTTTTGAGCATCATATGTTAACTCCAAGGTTTCGACCATTTGCATTTCCTTGTTACTGTTCGGAGGGCTGCCTTTTGTTATTATTAGTACCACACTATGTGTTCGAGAGAACTGCATTACTGCCAACAACAACTTTGTCTAAAAAGGATGATAAAATGACGTAGTTGAGGTTGCATACTTTAAATAGGCATTGTTCAATTTGTCTAATTGACATAATTTTAATAGCATACAGCATAAGCAAAGCATTAGAAATATTGGTTGCTTCATATTAGACAGCCTAGAGTGCAAATATTGTAAACTTGATGGAGTCTTCTTCTTTGTAGAAAAAGACCATGGCCACTTCTCCGGCCTCAAAGCCATTGTGGGAGACAAAATCTTTCCAACCAGTAGTTATGTTGATGCAGTCTTCAGAGTCGATGTGGTAGTCAGCTTCCATGTCTCCATAGCCATTTTTGTGTTCTGTCTCCAAAGTAAGCTTCCCTGAACTTGGAGCATGAATTTTTATTGCGGATGGCAGTTTCTGCATATTGTAATGGGTGGATAAAGAATTTATAAGTAAACAGCAAATGTTTTTGTTTTATACTTAGTATGATTTGTTTATGTTTACTTAAATATTTACATACATATGATTGTATTTTGTAAAGTAGTTGCAATGTATGAACAAACTTATGTACGCAATTGACTCCTAGTTTTACGTGATATATATTATACTGCAACATGTGTGCACTGCAATGTCAGTAATAGTGTACTTCTCCAGCATGTTAATATAACTGCAACGCTTATCTACTGACCCTTTTTTTGTACATATGTCGATACATGGTGTGGTGCTGAAGAAAGATAGGTGGAAGCATCTAGTCTTAATAACTAACAGATCTGAACAACAATACAAATTCTGTTTTGTATTTTTTGTTGATATTACTTAACAAATTGATTGAACTATATATTCAGATGTGTATTTGCAGTCTAGATTATGTCCAAAAATTGTGAGTGGAAATATACCCAACTTTCCTGTAGATCTGTGGTTGTGAGGCGATGAAGAAATGGCGCACGAAACCCCCTGTTGGGTATCATCAGGCAGCCGAGCATGCTGCGCCACTCGGTGTTGGTGAGCTGTAGGCCTTCTGGGTAGACGCATGTGTCCGCTACCGGTGCCATCCTTGCCAAGCACCCGCACTTGCAGTCCATGGCGGGTTTAGTGGAATTCCAGAGAAGAGCTGTGGATGTGATGAACCCTAGATCTATGTTTTGAGGAAAATGAGGAATGAGGGGAGGAGTTGTGTTAGTTTGTAGCACGAATTGATAAGTTTTTATGCAACCAATCGAGCAATGGAAGTAATAAATGTTGTGGTTGGCGTTAGGTGGTGGATTGGGTCTGATTCAGTGAACACGAATGCATTCAAGAAGGAACAGTATTGCTTACTTGAGAATAGCGAACTGCATTGTCATATCACGATGAACTGCGAACGCGTGGTTGGGCCTGTGTTTGTGTATGGTATGTGGCATTTTTTTTAAAATTTTCAGTGGCCTCTCTTTTTTTTGTTGGCCCTGTGTTCTGGTAGTGAAGACGCAATTGGGCCCAGGTCGGCCTATGAGCACACGGCTGGTTCCTGTTTCGCTATGTGTGAGTCCTAATGTTTAGTCCCTCCTCCCCCGCGGAAGGCGCGCCGGACCTGTTTATAAGCGTTGGCGAGGCATACTGGTCGAACTCCTCTGTATACTTATCTGGGCGCTTATACACAGCGCTCGCTGCTATATGCTCTATGACCCGTGGGCCCATGTGCAACCGGCCCCATGCACTGTGACTCAGAACGACTCGCCTTCTATGGGCGTAGACCTATTACGAGACTGGCTGGGGCCGGTGCCACCTGGGTGGTCAATTTGTTTTTCTTTTTATATTTCTGCCCTAAGTGTTTTTTTTCAATGTTAGAGTGTGCACTGCATTGATCAGTGTTCTGTACTGCATTGTATACGCACTGCATACTACATGTACAATTTTCATTTTTTTTTGTTTTCGTCTTTCTGCTATCAGTTAATCTTTTTTCCCAATGTATGGGAGTTCACTACTTTGTAAATCATACTTGTACTTCACTCATTATGGTTCTGTGCTGTACTTTCGTGTACTTCCATACTGTATTGAATTATTTTACGTGTTTTGCTTTTTTCTATTTGTGTTTTTGCTCTTATGTATTCCTTTTTTCAAATTTATGTTCGTGCACTGCTTTGTTGGGTATGTTAAGACTTCATTCGACAAATTCAGTGTACTGCATTCGTGCGCAACTTGCACTGCATGCATCCTGTTTGCATTCTGTACGACAATTTCATCACCAGCAAGCTAAGTTGAACAGAAAGCAAACTAACATAATCTGAGTTCATCATTACAGGCGATTGTGCATGGCAAGCAAACTAGGTTCAGCACACAAGCAAACTAACGATACATAAGCAAACAACACAAAGCAAATTTGATGATAATTCTAAAAGAACGCTGGCATTCTTGGCTCCTGGCCGGCACCATCTTCTTCTTTACCAGTCAGGCTCTCCCCATCCCCAGCTGCTCCTGGCGCGCTTCTTGGGTGGCTCCTCCTTCTCCAGCTTTGCACGACGAAGGCCGTCCTGGGTGAGGGTGATGCGGTTCCATATCTCGTACGCTGCGTAGGCGTCCTTTGCCGCGTACTCGATGTGCCTCCTGGACAGAGGCAGCATGGCCCAGCGCTGGTGCTCGGCGTCGGTGATCTTCTTCTTCATGTTGTTGTAGTAGTCGTCGATGAGCACGCCGGAGACGTCTCCGAGGGAGTCCAACAGCTTGGTTGCGTCGGGAACCCTCCACTCCTTCTGGATGTCGACGAAGTTGGCGACCTCTAGTTTGACGCGCTCGAGCCTGGTTTTTTCGCCGTTGATGGAGAAGCCTGCAAAGGTGTACCTGGGGTCGGCGAGGAAGTTGTCGAAGACGGTGCACCTTTCAGTGTTGCTCATTTGGAAGAGCAGCACCGGGTGATTCTTCCCGATGGAGAGCTGGCAGAGGGCGGGTTTCTGCGTCGCTTCAGGGTCCTTGTCGTACTCGAGATCAATGCCGATGATCTTGTGGCGCTGGAGGCTGAGGTGGCGCTCGTAGTGCGCGATGGTGATCGCCATCCGCTTCTTGTCGTTGGTGTGGATGACGTGCAACTTGGTGTTGCCGTGCGCCTCCGAGGCGTTGTCGCCCTTGTACTCGTCGGTGAACGTCATCACCGGTGGTGGGAGCGCAATGGATACTTGTGTTGTTGTGGATGAGAAGGCCTTTGGCAGCGGTCTGAATTCAAGGGAAGGGCGCGGGGTGGGATGGCCTCGTCGGATGAACTGCACGATCGCGCTGATGATGCGGTTGTGCGGATCGTGGGTTGGTTTTGCATCTGTGATCGTAGGTTTGTGGCGATGGAACTGCTCCGATCGGGTGTATGTATGCGAACATGGGTTTTTTTTAAGGTGGGTTTTTTTATCAGCACATTTTTTTAACCATCACCTTTTTATATTCGAACGGGCATTTTGTCATGTTTTATAGATGTATACTGCGTGACAACATAACAGCATTGCTTACAATTACCCACTGCGTCGCGTACAAATCAGAACTGCAACATTCTATACATGTGTGTACTTCATCGTTTTTTGCGTGTCTGCTATATGCTTCGGCGATCTGCATTGTGCACCGGAATGCACTTCATACTTCTACTGACCCGTACTGCATCTTGTTTTTGCCGGTACTTATTGCAGTCCCTGGCACGGGACGGATAGGAAATGGGAGGGGGTGGGCCCCCCCCCACTTTTTTTTTGAACTTGTTGTTTTTTCTTGGTCGGTTTTGTTGGGCCTGTGTTCGGGTATTTCAGAGACGCATGTACGTTGTCAATTTTTGGGTGCCTGGTGCCGGTATCATTTGGGTGATCAGTTTTTATTCTTTGTATGTTTTTTATGACGTGGAGTGCACTGCTTTTTGGTAAATCATCGGTGCAGTGCATTGATCATGGTTATGTACTAGGTGTGAACTTCATTCCTTACTGCATGTACAATTCTCATTTTTGATCCCGTGTTTTTACTTTTTTTGTAATTTTCGAATGTATGGGACTGCACTGGTTAGCAAAATACAACTGTACTACATTGTTTATGATACTGTACTGCAAGTTCATGTACTTCCGCACTGCGTTAACTTACTCCGCGTTTGCGTTTTTCTTCATTCCCGAAAAGGAATGCATAATGGCGTACTGCATCCCGTATAGAAATGCACTGCATTTTTCCAGCAGTGCGTACTGCATTTGTTTTTTTTTGCCTGTGCTTACTTCACTGTACGGGAGGTTAAAGGGGAGAGCGGAGGGGGGGCACATTTTTTTGTGTGGCACTTAATTGAAGCTAGACTTTTTTTTCTGGATGTGTTTTCTTAACATGTGTTTTTTTTTCATTTTAACTTTTTTTACGAACTGTATGTATTTTATTTGTTGTTTTACCGTTTTGAAATTTCATGATTCTTCACAGAGAACTGCATCATGTGTTTTTTTGTTGTTTTTTAGTAATATGTGCGTTTGGATGTAGAGTGGTTTATTTTGTCCGGGCTGTTTTTGGGCCGGCCCGTTATTTGTGACGCTTTTTGTGAAACGCGGGCCTCCTACATGTTGTTTCCACGCTATTCCACCGCTCCGGTGTCAGAGAAAGAAACCGAGAACAATCCCCTCTCCTCTCTTGAAGTTTCTCCCGAGGCATCTCTCCCTCGAGCAAAACCGCCGGCCGCGCGCAGCAACCGCCGTCGCCCGGAGAACCGCCGCCCTCAAGAGGTCCTTATTCCTGCATTCGGCGTCGTTGTCCGCTCCGTGAGCCCTTGCCGCTGCGCTCCCGTAGCCCTTTCCCGTCCCCGCCCCCCTTCCCCCTTACCGCCGCTGTCGCCGCATACTTTTCTTCGGTACGTTCCACTTGGCTCGGTGTTGATTGTCCCCTCGCCTTGTCTTTGTTAATCTTGTAGTTGTTGTAGCTCTTTATTCTTGTGTAATTTTTCGTAGGCAGACGATTTTATCTCGTTTTGAAGTCGATAGTTGCGTGTAGCAATGCGGATCTAGGGTTTCGTGAGATTTTCGCCGATTTTGTTGCTTATGTCTGTCACTTCGTCCTTTGTGTTGCAGGGAAACTCTATGTCTTCGCTGAGCAGGCAGGGAGAAGGAGTTCAGGGTATGTGGAGTGCTTATTCCTTAGTCTTTGTTTATTTTGTTTGGTGTTTATCTAGTTTCCTAGTTCATCCTGCATATTGGGTTATGCTCTGTTAGTTGTTAGTGTTCGATTGCATTATTTTGTCATGTGATGTTTTTGTAATTTCTTTTTTTTTGTTTTTTTTAATCCAGCAGGTGATTGCAGTGCTCATAATGATACACCAATTGTCTCTCCTTGTCCTGGTGGTAAGGATCATGGTGTCGAGGGAGGACATCAAGTGAATTCGCCGATTGAATCTTCTCCTATTAGTGTGGCCCCTCCTTCTGGTATGTGATTAATTTGTTTACTTTTGTGTATGCTTTGTTTTATCTAGTTCGACATTTTTGTTGCGAACAACCGTGGATTTAGCATGTGCAGCACTGCATTTATTTTTGTAAGTGAACTCCACTGTATGTATGTGTGAACTGCATTGTTGTTTTATTCATGTTTTTTGTGCAATGCATTATTTTTTATTTTGAGTTTATGGTTGGAGCACTACATTTATATGTATAACTGTACTGCATTTGTTCTTTTTGTGCAATTTTTAACGAGGATAGTCAAACTTATTTTGACGCAGTGTATGTTTTCCATGCTGGGGCTCCTGGGTTTGAGGAGGTTACTCAATTGATTGACCATTATTTTGCAGAGGGTAATGTTGGTGTGAGCTTTGATCAGAGACGTCCTGTCTTGTCTGAAACACCGTCGCAGTCTGTTGATGGTATAGAGGAAGTTACACAGGATTGGATGGTCCCGGACAGGTTCTTCAATATGAGTTAAAGCAAGGGAAGAAGAAGTTGAGGTTTGAAATTGAGTCAAAAGAGTTTGCTGAGAAGGAGAAGCAGAGGAGATCTGGAGATGGTGGCAATGGTGGTAAATTTGGCAAGATGAAGAAGAGGTTGAGTACTGTTGTTGAAGAAGGTGGTACACCTCGGTGGAGTCCACGTGTTGCTGGAATGAAGAAGAATCTTGGCAAGAGAACCGCTGAAGCTGGCGGAAGTGATGATCCTCAGCGCAAACGACTACATGTCACTGAAGGTCCCAATTCTGATGACGACGAATTTTTGCTTGCTGATTATGTGAAGGGTGTTCATCCTTCTAGACACAAAGACTATGGTTCATCTAAGACTGTACCCAAGCGTTCCCATGATGATGTCGACGAAGATGTTGGTGGTCATTCTGGCGAGGAGGTGGATGCTACTCCAAAGGTTTGTTGAAGTGCACTACATTTGTTTCCTTCATTTTGTTATTCTTTCTGTATTTTCTTTTTTTTATGCCTAATCTTCTAATGTGGACTGCATTTCCCTTTACACAGAGGAAGAAGTCTAGTAAGAGCAATGCAACTAAAGATGATGGTGAGGGAGATGATTCTCGATTTAACAAGACCGTGCGTTTGTCACTTCACATTGTTTGCAAGGCTGCTTCTTTGTTGAAAGAGGCGCATTGCAGCCGTGTTAGGGATGCTGGATTTGGTGTTGTCTTTGATCTGACAGTAAAGAAAAATGTGTCGCGCATTCTTATGTGCTATTTGATGGGAGTGATTGACCCTGCCACTATGTTAATGGACTTTGGGAATGGCAGGGTTCTTCGAATCAATCGTGATGCAGTTCATCACATTTTTGATTTACCTATGGGAAGTCACACTGCACCCATGCCTGCTTCCAGCGGTCATGATGAATCGTTGACTGCCCTCAAGGATGAGCTTGGCTTTGACCGTTCAAAAAGTATAGGTGTCAAGGACTTGCTTGAAGTTGAAGGTATTGGTGGAGGAAGATGATTATGTGAGTGTTGACCTTGCTGTGAAGGTGTTCTTCCTTATACTTTACCAGAATTTGCTGTGCCCGGGGCCTGCAGTTCGTTTGGGTAGAGTTGCTGCGATGGTAGAGAACATGGATTATGCGGCTATGGCTCAGATGGACTTTTGTCAGCTTGTTTTTGATGAGTTGCAGGCAGCTGTGGTTAGGTGGCAATCAGAAGGCAGCAAGCAGAATTGTGCAGAGGGTTGTGCCATTGTCCCCCTGATTATGTATCTTGATTGCTTGAAGCTTCACAAATTTTCAGTCATGCACATGTTGATGCCACGTGCGTCATAGCTGATGACCAAGGACCTGATGAAGTTGTACAATGAGGATGTGCTTGTGAAGGGAAAGATTTACTTGGAAAGTTACAAAATTGGGAAGCTGCCGGTTAGTGCACCTGATTTTTTAATATCATATTTTTAAAAAAAATGTGCAGTCATTATAAATGTGAACTATTCTAGTACTCACATGTGTACTTCTCTTTGCGTGTTCTCTTTTTTTGCAGTGGAAGGCGTCAGGTGATATTGTGTACAACCGTCCTGTTGCAGTTGTACATGGCAGCTCTGATGCGGGGCCTAACACTCATGATAGGTTTTATGAGCCTATCTGTAGTCAGCTTCCTGGCTGTGATGATGAGGTGCCGCATACTCGTGGTTTCATGCCTCGATAGATGTTTGATAATACAAGCTCTTATAAACAGACATTTGTTGGCGGCAAAAAGCATGAGGAGATTGATGAGCTTCTTCTGAAGGTTTTGAAGCTGACTGAAGATTTTCCAACCTCGGGTGACAGGTTGAGGACAGTTGTTGGTTTTTTCCCTGTTGGCCATGGCCCACGAGATGAAGATATTGTTGCTGCTCACAATTTTGATTGTGGTGTGATCGAAAGCCTGAAGATTGCAGTGACAAATGTTTGTTCTTCGTATGCTCAATTGAGACATTCACAAGAAGAAAAATGCGGTCGGTATGAGAAGGATGCTGGGCATATTATGGATGAAATGATCCGTGAGGACGCTGGCGTTGGTGCTGATAATGTATGTTCTATGTTTTTTGTGGCTTTGGACCTCCTTTTTGTGTATTATGTTGACTGCTCCTCAATTATTTTATTTTTTTTGTTATAGGCTGGAGTGGAATCTTCTGGTGTCGATGGAACTAGAGACGATGGGGTTGGTCAGGTATAAATACTCCTGTCATGTCTGTTCTGCATTGCTTCCCTTTTTCTTTGAA